AGTGCCTTTATAGCTCCATAGAGCTCACAACCTGGGTCTCAGATACAGGAGGACCTAATGACTACACGCAGACCCCAGCCCCCACGCAACAATGAGGGACACACTAAACCTCCTACAATATAACGTGCACAACTCTGCGAGAGATATGGGTGCGTTATTGGCAGACTCTGCAACAGAAGACAAATACGACGTAATTGCAGTACAAGAGCCCAGCCGGAATCCCCACATGCTAGCAACACACTGCCCCAGAAGCTGCGGCTTCTGGCCAGCATATCACCCGGAAACACACCCAAGAGTATGCTTTCTGGTCAACAAAAGGCTCGTGGAACACACATGGGAGTGCCACTACCACTCAGAATACATTGCAGTGCTGACAATCACCACCGACCTGGGTAAGGTGCAAATAGTCAATGTGTATGCACCTCCTCCAGGGGGCTACAGCAGTGAACCGGAGGAATCCCCCATAGGCCAGCTGCAGGAGGTAGCCGGAATGGGCACAGATGCAGAGCTGGTCATATTAGGAGATCTTAATGTCCACCATGAGAGGTGGGGAGGGGTGAGAGTGGAGAGAAACTTCCGCATGGCATGGCAGCTAATAGCACAGGTGGATAGGCTGGGTCTCCAGCTTGCCACACCTGTAGGAGCTACCACATGGCAGGACAGAGGCAGCCCAGGAACGACTATAGACCTCACCTTTCTATCACCACTCCTGCACGACAAGCTCAGGAGGTGTGCAATAGCGGAGGAGGCATGCAAAGGATCTGACCATAAGCCCATAGAAACAACACTGGAACTCACACCCATCCCAAAGGAGGCTGAGAGACGAAACTGGAAGAATGCGGAGCCTGAGGAGGTAGCAAGGGACTGCCAAAAGCTATATGTGCCACAAAGCCTGGACTCCAGGCAAGCAGTCAAGGAGTATGCAGACTACCTGGTAGGATTTGTAGGGACATTAGCGGACAAACACGCCACCGTAAGTAAGGCTGGGTTAAAATCCAAGACATGGTGGTCACCGAGGGTGGCCAAGGCAGTGGAGGAGTACAAGCAGGCTAGGAGGTCCCAGCTCCCAGAAATGGAGCGGCTCAGGGCACGCTGCAAGCGCAACAGAGAAATCCACTTGGCTAAGACAGCAAACTTCAGAGATCTGGTTGACAGGACCCGTGATGACCCCAGATTGATGTGGGGACTAGCAAAATGGGGCAAGGAAAGAAGCCATCTGCCCCCACAGGCACCTACTGTCCCCCCCCTGAGAACAGGGGAAGGGGCTGACGCGACGGTAGAAACCTCTTTTGAGGGGAAGGCTGAGGCATTACGACAACGGTTCTTCCCACAGCCAGAGCCCGCCGACTTAAGTGACACCAATATGGAGCTGCTGCAAGCTGAAAGGGAAGCGTCAAATGACACCATCAGTGTGGAGGACATGGAAAGCCTGATCCAGAGACTGCCAAACAGGAAGGCACCAGGGAGGAGTGGGATCACCAACGAGTTCCTTAAGATGCTGGGCAGAACATTTGTGGAGGCCATAACAGCTCTCACCAATGCATGCTGGCATTGGGAGACTTACCCAGACACGTTTAAGGAAGCCAAGACAGTGGCCTTGCGCAAGCCAGGGAAGGCTGACTACCAGACTGCAGGAGCGTGGAGACCCATTGCCTTGCTGGACACAATAGGGAAGATTGTGGAGGCAGCAACTGCAAAACGCCTGCGGAAGATCGCGGAGGACCACAACCTGCTACCCTCACAGCAAATGGGGGCAAGAAGGGGCAGGTCCACTGAAACAGCCATAGCACAACTTCTAGCCCAGATAAGGACAGTGTGGCAGCACCCAGGACAGGTGGCATCGGTACTCTCCCTAGACATGACAGGGGCCTATGACAAGGTGCTGCGGGAGCGAATGGTTCACATCCTCCGGCGACTGGGCATCCCCAGGGACCTGGTGGGATGGGTTGCGTCCTTCATGACCAACAGGAAATCCACAATTGCCTTTGAGGGCCAGGAATCAGACACCTTTGACATCCCAGCAGGCATCCCGCAGGGGTCACCCCTATCACCTATACTATTCCTATTCTACAATGAGGAACTGGTGCGCATCTGCTCAAGACCGGGGCGCCCGGTGGTGTGCATAGCCTTTGTAGACGATGTCAACGTGATGGCCTATGGCCAGTCCACTGAGGACAACTGCAGGGAGCTCCTGCGCATGCATCGGGCATGCGAGGAGTGGGCAGCACGGCACGGGGCGGTCTTTGCCCCCCAGAAGTATGAGCTAATGCACTTCACACGGGCGCGCAACCAATTCAACCTACAGGCTGAGCTGAGACTGCCAGGACAAACTATACAACCGAAACAGGTGATGAGGGTATTGGGTGTATGGTTAGACTCTAGGCTGAGATGGAAGGGCCACCTGGACGCGGTGGCAGGCAAGATGAAGACTCAAGTCAGAGCACTGTCCCAAACCACCCAATCCACATGGGGGCTCCCACTACGACAAGCGAGAATGGTGTATAACATGGTCATCAGGCCGGCCCTGACCTATGGAGCAATAGCATGGCACCAGCCACAGGGGCAGGGGGGCACGGGTCCAGCTAAGTCAGGACTGGCCCTCAAGCTGACCACAGTGCAGAACTCCTGCCTCAGAATAGTGGCAGGGGCATACAAAAGAACCCCAACAAGCACACTGGAAGCGGAAACCCACACAGTACCCTTAGACATCCACCTGGATGGGCTAGTGGCAAAGGCGGTCAACAGGATGAAGGCCTCAGGAATGGCGCAACAAATTGAGAATGCGTGTGCGGCCATAAGGACCAGGCTTCGGCACCGGGGGGTGACAAGGGGGGCACAGAGACACATGGGAGCTGTGGTTCACCCGGCAGCCCTGCCAGTGGACTGGGAACAGCAATGGATTCAGGGTGCTAAGGCCACAGCAGAGATGACACCGGAACAACGAGCCAACCTGGACCAAGCCTCATATAATCACTGGCTGAAGCGCGAGCAGCTCTGGAGGTGGGTGCAGAGGTGGAAAAGACGTGAGCCCCCCTGGGGGGAGCGGCATGGCCGGCCTCCAGACAAGAAAATTCTGAAGTGGCACACCGGCCTGCGCAAGGCTCGCAGCACTATCATCATCCAATTGAGGTCAGGTAAAACCGGACTGGCAGCTTTCCTAAACCGGTGTAAGGTACCTGAATTCCCCACCCCACGGTGCCTCTGTGGGGTATGAATGGGAAACAGTCGAAACATGTTTCTGGTACACTGCGAACGCTGGGGAGCAGCAGCGGTCAGGGCCTTATAAGAAATGGGCCAGGCTAGACAAGAGGATGCTGTCTAGATACCAAGGAAGGGCTGCATCTCCCTGT